TACTACTACTACTCTCTACTCTCTCTCTCTCTCTCTCTCTCTCTCTCTCTCTCTCTCTCTCTCTCTCTCTCTCTCTCTCTCTCTCTCTCTCTCTCTCTCTCTCTCTCCGAAACAGAACTACCACTGGAGGAACTTCTGATTCCGCTGCGTCCCCGATAAAGACACGCCCGGGCGTTAATCAGAAGTGGGCACTCGAATCTCCGCCGGTCCGGTTGATTAATTCCTGGCTCCGGATCGAGGACGGGTCCCACGGTGGCGGAGCGACGGCAGCCAGTTCGGCTTGGGCTCCCGTAGTCCTCTAAATGGAAACGAGTCCGATCTCCGAGCAACAGGTTGGCGCCGCGTGTCGACCCACGCTCGTCGATTTCCAATCCGCGTGCCAAGCGTTCACCCGCTCTCGTCGAGCGGCGGGCGCGCGACGTTTCCCGACCGATCGGCGGATCGATAAACCGCCGATTCCGCCTCCCCCGTCGTCGTTCCCGTTTTATCGTCGCCCTGATGAGACCGGATGCCGAACGCGGATCGCCAAACGATCGATTCAACGAAACGCGCGGCTCTACCCGCGCTTCGAGCGTCAACAACAGGTTTCCGATCGAACCGACGGAACGGTTGTTCGGCGATCGAATTCTCTACTCGATTCCCGCTCGTTCTGATAAAATCACAAGTTCGATCGCTCGTTCGCGCCTACTGCACGCCATCGCGAATATTTAGATAGCTCTTACGGCTTGAACTATTCTTCAAAACTTTGCGAGCAGAAATATTCAGCAAACGCAAACGAGTTATTCGCAAATATCGATAACGTGATTCACATGACAAACGATCCATCTACGATAATACGCGAACCATCACTTCGACCATCTATTTAATTTTCATTCTTTTATGAATCGCACGACATTAATTAAATAATTATACAGTCAAACGCGCCGTCATGATGTTTACAAAAAAATAATATATATATATATATATATATAAAATTTTTAAAAGCAGTTAAACGGTCATTAAATTATTCCGCGCTATTAAAGAACATTAATATCCATATAAGATCTAATTGTGCAAGAGTGATACATGCTGTTACTCAAACGTCAAAAACACGTTTTATTTTCATTTCCGTCCTACACTCGTGAAAAAAAGTCCCGTTGCTCTCAGTAAAGGAAATACAAAATGAAAAACAGTTCAACTGTCATTCAGTTTTTAATCAATTTTTATACTTTAATAGGATAGACAGTGCCATTTCAAGCATCCTCCTACGTGTTTCCATATGAACGTTGCAAAACGCGTCGAAGCTTTCTTATACAGTTTTGCCGGGCACTTGTGAAATCGTACCGTTAGAAAACATCGGCGCGACATCCGTCATGACCACCATATCCAACGCACTTTATTTGATTTTCTCCGGTAGCGAGGCACACAGTTGCACAAGACACTGGCGGACCACTTGGTCACCCGCGCGATCAAGCGGACGCCGACCGAAAGTACTGTCAGCGCGAAATTCGCGGCGGACGTGTGTTGAGGTTCGCCACCGCGAGAGCGTAAACCCGCGCGAGAGTGAGAGAGCAGTGGTCGAGGTGGTGGTTGGTCGCGTGGAGGCACGCGCTGAACTGAGGAGGGCTAAGTGTGGATGCTGCAACTACAACGTGTAGGCGTAAGTCGCCTTAGAGAGAACTCGCGGTGGACCGAGAGGGAGAGAGAGACGAGGAGAGGGTGGGCGTGAACGTGTGAGTGCGGTGCGCGTTCGTGAAGGCGTACGTGAAGGCGATACACGCGCCCGCGTGCGCGCGTGTGCGTGCGTGCGTGCCGCGTGAGAGCGAGAGACGGAGGGGAGAGAAATCTTACCCGGGTATGGCAGTGAGTGAGCAAAGATGCACGCGCGCGCACACGCAAGGTACGCGGGTACGCACGCGAGTATACCCGCGACACGTTCCCGTCGCTGCCGGCTCCATTCGCACGCGCCATTCGCGCGCGGAATCCCGCGGGTACCCGCGTAAAAAAAACATGGCACAGGGAAATTGAGTAGCGGTTACAAAAATAATTTTTACCGAGAAAGAGATTTTAAGAGATTACATTGATAAGAGTGTTAAGAGTTTCAAAACTTTGAATTAAAAAATAAAAAATGCTAACGGAATCTTTATTATTTGTTTTTAATTTCATTAATCAGAAGTTTATTTTTTTATTTTCGACACGTAGTCTGATCGCCAAAACTTTGTGAAAAGAGCAATCATTAGAAATCATCTAATTTAACACCCGCAACAATTTTAATCTATTAATTTATGAACGTGCGAACGCGCCGAGCGACACTGAAACCGTCGCATGAGAAAGTGGTGATGTTAAACGATCTAATCGACACCGGCTTAACGATCAGCGATCCTGAACGGCTTGTAATTGATGGCGATCGATAATGCCGAGCGCCGCGGTGACTGTCCTCTCCTCGAAGTATCACCCACGAAACGGTGAGAATCCGGCTTAACGAGCCCATGGAAAAAGTTAATGGCTTGACTTCGGCGACTTCGTAAAAGGAAAGACACGCGCTTCTATTTTATGAGACGACAGCCTCGACGCGACGCGACGCGACGTAACGCGGCGTGAAAATGGGCATGGCGTAATGTACGGTATCGTCAGTTATGGTACATCATAATTTCCGCAGTTGTTCATATGTCCCGGCAACAATGTTACGCGCCTTTGCGAGCTGGGTGTGGATTCGAGATTCTTGTCTTGCAAGGCATCAACTAGACATGGTCTCAAGTTTCGAACATTTGCAGAATCATCACGATAGAAGCACACAGCTTTACCTACGCCTTTTTATAAAGAAGCAAAAATACAGACGTATCTCAGATGAAATCTGATGAACTACGTTGTTTAAGATTGAGAAATAAAAAGAAACTCGAAAAATATATTCTTTAGCATGATTTTATGTCCTCAGCACACAATGCATAAAAAAATCTAAAAATGCTTATTTTTGATGACCAAGTTTTGGTTTAATTAACGCAAGAAAAAATTGTCATTTACAATGATATCTTGTATTTGCTTAAATAACATTATATCATTTTTTTATATTGTAAAAAATCATTGAGATTGCGGAAAAAATTGGAAAGATATTTTGCTTACTGAATTATTGCTTCGAACAATATAGCTTAATATTTTGACATTTCTTTTATTTACAATGTCATGTTATATATTTTATTTTTCAAAATCTTTTTAAATGCAATCTATGTTTTTCCAATTATTTATGTCTATCGATATTACACATGATGTTCGTAACTTTCGATATTGAACATGATGTTTGTAAAAGTCAAAATCGCAACACCCACGTTTGGTGCTTAACGCAAAATATAGACCGCAGTAATATCTCAATCCGTAGAGTAATATATCACAATCTCTTGCAAAGCTTCAAGATACTGACCTATAACATATATTATTGCCATAATTATACTGTTGGCATCCCACACTGACTTTCGTAAAATTGCCCACCTCAATCTAATGAACCCGGTAATAGAAATTACGTGGTAAAGCCAAGAATTTATGGCGTAGATAGGGGTTAATTAGTATTGTATGTTAATGAAACGTGGAGCTCGTTGCTCACTAATCGTGATACAAATTGGAACCTAATCTCTGTGGAAGTACTAAAACGAATGTGCAAGTACTAAAAGCAGATTCAAAGACACTTTACAAGTCGTCCTGCAATTATTTAAGTACGATTCTTAAATAAAGATAATAATCGTGTAGATTCAGAATGTCATAATATAAAAATGTCGATATCACAATAACTATCAAACAATATCGAAATTGGCTAGTAATATTCATTATGTTATTGATTTTCAGATGTTATTCGCGAAGAAATTTTTATCTAAATTAACATTATTTTAATTCATTTCTAATGTAAAATCAAATTATTATTAAATAGTGGATAAACCATAAACGATTAGGCGTAAAATTGATGCGTTAAGAATATATATAATATATATAATTAGTAAGAATATTAGTAAGAATATATATAATTAATAGTGCATTATATATTTAAAAAATTAATGAAATAGCTATCCGCTATTTTTTATATTTTTAAAGTCCTAAAGTCCTTTCTTCTATTATGAAACAATGAATTTTTGAGATTTTTATTTGTAATACTTTTACCCTTTTAGAGTAAAATTTTAACTATGCTTTTGATAAGACAATTGCCACATAAATCCATTACTACAAGTTATCAAAAGTTCTGACTCACCGATACGATGCGCAACAGTGAAGTTATAACATCACGTTCTGTAAGACAATCGTATCAAAATTACAACAGCATTCGAAATAATTAACTTATCGAATAACAATTATCATACCTATTTTTCACATTTTTCGAAAGTAGAAAGTACTTTTAAAGAAAGTAGAAATTTTTTGAGCAAAGATATTTAATAAGACATTACATGATCCAAAAATAATGATCTTTTAAATAATAAATAAATAATAAAATGTTTACCTTTAAATTGTCATCACTCGATGCCTCCCAAGCCTGCTCCTCCTCTCAGATATTTTCTCTGTATTTACACAACACAACACAATATTTTCGCGAAAACACGGTTAATTACGACCGCGCATGCAGCAATCATTAAATTACGATACATTTAATCACGCGCCACTTTGCGCGGCGCTCCCGACATTAATCGCACGAGCCGCACACTTTATTGCCGTGGTTGTGGCAGAAAAATAATACGAAAAATTATGATCGCACAGATCTACGATCTGCTCGATGCTCGTAAAATCTCGCGAAGAAATGAACGTAACGGATGAGTCACGAATGGAAGCCAGAGGGATTTAACGAATTATCGGTGTGCCAAATCGATGTTGTACGGTTAACAAATGTTAAGATATGGTGTTAATTATGACTGTACTTGCTAATTAAATTGTGCACAACTTGACTCGAGATCGGTTGTTTCGAATCAGGAATTTACCGTTAACTACTGAAAAATTCGAAAATGTCGACGACTTTTTTTCCAACACGAACGGTGTGACATCGTTATTATGGTCCGGTTAACGGCTAATTATGACGTGACAAATATAACGAAATTCAGTATCGCTTTCGTAATAAATGGAACAACAAGATCATTTTTTTCAATTGGAAATATATTCTAGAATTTACGACCTTTCGATTTCTTTTCGAATCTTTAAAATATAAATCGTAAATGTCAAATCAATCATAATCTGAGATCGCAAAGAAATCGATACCTTGCGATACGCTACGTGTTTTACGAGAGCGCAATGTCAGCCGAGACACCGTTGCATACGGAATTAGCACATCGTTGCTCCGAGGTACGAGATGCGTTTAGCAATGGAAATTCCGATCGTACGTTTCGCCGCGTTTGTATTGTCATCTACAGAACGCATAATACACTTGGATGACGGTAATGAATGCGCCGAGGCAGAACTCGTGGCCGCGACTAAACGAGAGCTCTCTCTCTCTCTCTCTTTCCCTATCTCTCTCTCCCTCTCATCCGACCGGATGCTCTGAATCCGTCGTTGGCACGCGATCGTTTTCGCAACGAGGAGGACACTTCCACGGGGCATTGAGTCCTCAGCACGCGCGACCCGAACGAGCCGAGACGAATCGGTCGTCCCGATGCCCACGCTCTCGCCTCTCGACATACCACTGAGAACGCGTGTCCTTGCATCGTCCTCGACGCATTCTCAGATCGTATTCCCGACGTGAAGAGGAGTATCGGCGAAGGAGTATTATACTGCCAATGATTCCCGTACCTTACGTGTCGATTGCCAGTCCTTCAATACACAAGATGCGAAATACCGCGGGTGCAGCGAAATGAGACATGTAACGGTGTTCTCTAGTAGAGGCTTTTTATTACTCAAATATCAATCATAATTGCTACCGAAACGATAATAACACTCAAACTTTTCGGGACGAGACTGAGAATTCGCGGATCCGCTTTCGGGGCCCCGCTTCTTCCCCGGGGGACGGACGCGAAACGACACCTAATGAGGCACGATCTACGACCTCGGGCTGCCAATCACTGGTTTTTAGAAAAAGAGCGTTCGCGTCTCTTTGTTTTTTCCAAACGGGACAAGAATATTCAGGTTCATTTCTATCCGTTCACGAATCAAACTCGCCAACGGTACTAACAAAAAATACCTACACTAGCTGTACTGTAAGATCGTATATTCTTCTTCCTTTCAGCTATTTCTGAATAGAGATACTATAAACTTTTTATGTATATTATAGATGTAATAAATGTATTTTTAGAAATTTCTGCGTTAAAAGTGAAGCTATTTTTATAGCCTGATACAGCGAATGGTCCACTTATATAAATGAAATCGCGATACTTACTTTTTTGTCGAGCTTAGAAAAGGGCGGCGACAACCTGTTGAATCTCGTAATATCATACTTTTACTAATGCCATGAACGAAAAAAGAGGCGAGAGAAAGGAGTCATTACAATTTTATGCAAATTTATTATTAAGGAGTATAATGAAGTTATTAATTGATATTCTACATCCCATTAATATTTAATATTTAGAAATTATTTATTAACGTTTCGCGAG